GCTCTTCCCTTACTTTTTAATTTTTTTTAAAAAAATACCGGTATTTCTTGTTTATCCATCAATATAATTAATTGGTGATTAAATTCAATGAACGACAGCTAATGAAGAAAAAGTTTTGTGCCAAGACTTTGTCAAGAAAATACTTCAGGTTCTTATATTTAGGAGTCTCAAAATAGGTTCAAGGACAATCATGTTCACAAATGTCGCTTTTTTTATTTGTGTGATTTTTTTTTAATTCCTCTTTTGCAATTTTCTTCCTACTTGTAAAGTGAGGGAAAGTGTTCATTCTTGAATATGCCTGGGCATGTGACTCCATGGAACGTGGGGCCCACGTTGGCCCAAATTGGTCTCCAAATTCAGCGGCGGGAGTGAAGTAGGATTCTTCTCCTGCAACTCCCAAAAAAAAAGACCCTTTTCTGCAAATAATAATGCGTTGAGCAACAATATATGCAAAAATGAACCTCTTTTAATTTGAGGAGGAAAAAAAAAAAGGGGCTTTTATTTTTTTCCTCTCTTTTTTCACGTTAAAAGAAAATAGCGTGTAAATCAAGTAGCATTTGTGGTGCGTTTCAATTTTTCATATTCTTTTTCTTGCTAATGAGTGTGAGTGCCAGGTCATTGGAGAATCCAAGCTTTCCTGTAGCTCAACATGCATTTGTTCTGACATTTGTTCTTTTTTTTTTTCCCTGTTTGCTTTAACATTTTTGTATACTTATACACGAAGAAATAATAAAGTATGCTCTTCTTTTGGATACATGTATATAAAATACATAGTTGGTATATTGCTACTATAGTCCGGGTTTATAAGGTTTGTATCTGATATACTTTAATTAAGATGCCTTTTTCAACTTGGAAGGAAAAAAAAAAGGGGCTACTCTTTGGTCTTCTTTCCAAGTGATAAAAACTAATATGATATTGCTACTTATGGTAAAGGTATCTAATGGTATTGCATATTTTTTAAGGTTAAATCCGGTTAAAATCCCATCAAATAAAAATGGATAGAAATATGATGGATATATATATATATATATATGAGGGTTATAGCATTTTTTTTAATATTCTAATTTTGCTACAGTTAAAAACTCTCATAAAAAGTCACATCTAACTTTATCTGCTACAGTTAAAAGTTTTTACATAAAGTCACATCTTAGTTTGAATTGAAAACTCAAATCAGCAAACTGAACGAGCTATTAGTCTTCCCATCAAGTTTTTTCTTTTTTTCTTTTCTTTTTAGAGAAATAAATTGATTTTATCTATCCTATGAATTTGTCTAGTAATTTCTTAAATCTCTTCTCTGTTTGTGTTTTGTTTGTACTTGTAAAATCTTTGAACTTTTCTTATGGATAGTAAATAAGATGTTGATTTTGGGTGGGGCAGGTCTCAGTGGATTGTGCTATAGTGATAAGTCCAAGGAAACAGTCTCTCACTTACAAGCAATGTGGATTTGATGGAGTAAATGTGTAGATCTCACCAGAACAATTTCTCATTTTCTTCTTTCTCTGCAAGTAGAGAGGAAGAAGCAATGGAAAAAGAGAAGGAAAAAAAAAAAAGAAGGCATTTGCGAGTGAAAATCTCTCGCATTGGTGGAATATCGAAGCTAGCCAAGAGAAAAACGAAGAGGTTTTTTTTACGGTAACTAGAAACGAAAAACAAATTTCGTCCCAAGATTTTGCAGACATTTTTACCATTGGTTGCTACGGGAAGTTGCTAACTACTTGGAAACTGTAAAGTGTAAAAACTAATTGGTTGCTATTGAGAGATTCCACGTCCTTTTTTGTTTTTTTGTTTTTGGTTTTTTTTGGTTTTTTTGTTTTTTTTTAAGGCAAAGTCTGTTTTTGAAGTAAAAAGGGATTGCCGGCAGCCCACGTCTGGGAATCTTTTTTTTATTTTTTTTGAGAAGTTGGAAAAAGGTCTTCTAGTACATTTGGCCATTTAATTGTAAGCGGAGGACAATTTGATCTGGAGACGTTTGATTCATGGATTATAATCATAAGATTAGAATTATTTTTAATTTACGTGTATTTTTTATGAGAGAAAATATTGTAGTAAATCATGAATTATGATTTGAATCGGGGTACGAATTTTCCGACCAAACAACCATGTTTGGAAAGGAGATTCGTGTTATGATTTAAATCATGATTCGTGACTCGTTATAGTATTTTCTTACAAAAAAATATATGTAAAATGTGAATAATTTTAAATTATGGTTATGAATTTATGAATTAAACGTATTATTTTTACTCCCAAAATAGTATCGGTAGCAAAAGGATAAAAATTGTCGGTCTAAATTCTTCTGTAAATTGTTGCATTTTTCGATTATGAAATCTGGTAATGGGATGTTAAGACAAATGACCATCTAGAAGAAAGCATATATATGATGAACGTGAAGGGTTAACTGGGAAAAGACAAGAGTGAAAGGTATATATGGACTTAAACAAGCCTATAAATCATGAAATATTAGATTTGATCAAACGGTAATTTTTTTTATGAATTTGGTCAAACTGTAGACGGGTCATATGTTTGTAAGAAAATGAAGAACTCAATGTGGTCTTCGTAGCCCCTTTATGTCAATGATATTTTAGTCATTAGGAGTGATGCAAATTCATTGATAGTGTTATTTAGCAACAAAAAAATAAAAATAAAAATTCATTGACAGCGGTCAAATAGTGGTTGGCTATATAGTTCCAAATGAAAGATTATGGCCGTGTTTGGTATTGATCTTGTTTTTATTTTTCATATTTTTTGAGAAAGAAAAAATGAAAACGTTTTTAAAACAGTGTTTGACAGAATAAAGACAAAAAATGAAAATGAAAATGATTTTTTAGTTTAGTGTAAAATGAGAGAGAAATGTTAGTCGTTTTTCATTTTTTGTTTTCGTTTTCTCTTCTCTCGAGCAGGGCAAGAGAAAGAGAGACATTAATGGGTTTTTTATACTGAAAGTAATCTCTTGATAAAACTACTAAACGCATTTTTAAAAATGATTTCTGTTTAAGATTAAAAATGTTTTTATTTTCATTTTCATACAAAAAAATAAAATCATTTTAAAACGAGTTTTAAACGCACCCTAGGTTAATGACATTATTCCAGATTATGTACATAAATAAGATACTTTGAAGTATTCTATACGAAATTCCAAAAAGGTTTTGCAATTCACGAGAGATGGAATTAATCTTTTTTTAAGGAGACATCTCCCAAAACTCATGAGGAAGAAAATAGCGTGAAAAATATTTCACACATTTATGTTGTAGGACGCCTATGCTATGTTATATGCGAGACAAAATATTTGTTATGCGGTTGAAATTGTTAGCAGGTACCAATCAAGTATTATGTTAATATTCACGTTTTTAAGATTTACAGGTATTATGTTATTTTTTCACGATTTATAAGTTTTATATTTTATTGATGTTTTTAAGATAAAAGGTTTTGTGGGATTAAGAGGACGTTTGGTTTATGAATTCAAAACTATGATTCAGAACCATTCTCGTTTTACGTGTGTTTTTTGTGATAAAAAATATTGTAGCGAGCCACGAACTATGATTCGAATCATGGCACGAATTCCCCTTCCAAATGTCCAGTAAGTGTATTTGCTTACCGTTAACTCATTATTCGTTATGGTTCATGTTTCAAATAAAAGGTAAAAAGTTATGTTTAGAAGAAGAAGGAATATTTGTTATGCTAAATGAGCCGACTTAAAGCCCACTTTTTTGAAATGAGTCCGGCCCACATAAAGACTCGAGTTAGGTTGGGCGAGGATCTAGACTTAAAAAGTCTTTTCAAACAGGCCCAATTATATTTTTAGGGAGAAAGAGAAAAATAAGTCAAGACTTGATATGAATTAAAATTAATAGGCCAATAGTTTTACATAAGTTAATAAATAGGTCAAATTACTGTTTACGTCAATAACTTGTCTGGTTATGAACCATAACTTGACAAGTTATTGTCCATAACTTGTCTGGCTATGAACCATAACTTGACAAGTTTGTCCATAACTTATCTGGTTATGAACCATAACTTGACAAATTATGGCCCATTCATTTCTATAACTAAAATTGGCCTATATACTTTCTTAAGCTTTTCATATTTACTTATTTTCTAGTATTTCTGTTTTTTTTAACGAAAAAATTTTCTTTTAACAAATTTTTTATAAATGCTTAGATCGACTCAAACTACCTCGGCCCTTAAGGTTTTAAGTCGGACTAGGCCAACCTTCTCCTCACTTGGCTAGGCCCAATTAAATTACGAGAGTCATTTGAGTTGAAATTATAAGATCACCCATTTATTTCCATCCAAAATTTAATATAACGTAACTTAGGGATTAAATTTGAGAGATTAAAAAAGATATTAAAAAAGATCAACATAAGTTGATACAGGTTTTAATGAAGGGGCTACTTGTATTAGAAGAGAAAATTAGGATTTCAACATAAATAACCCTTTTTGAAGGATTTTTTTTTAATAAATGACCGAAGTTTTGTAACAAAAATTGTCATTTTTATTAACTTAGTCGTCAATCACTGATTGACATAAAAATTTATGACTGATTGACTTTAATTTATTACTAATTAACTCAATTATTCTTCATTATTAATCAATATCAGTTAATGATTAACAAAAATCAATTAGTAATTAATTTTTTATCAACAAATTACAGATTTATTAATGATATACTATTAATAAACTAATAATGAATCAGTTAAAATAAGTGATTGACCCTAGATTAATTGTGTTTAATAACTAATTAATTATAGATTAATGACTGATTGAGTCCAATAAACAAAAGTAAAATAAAAATAGTTGGGCCATTTATGAAAAGGGATGGTAAAAAAAAGGACGTGTATTTTTTCCAAGAATGAATTTAACTCTGGTGGATTTTATTTCAGAGTTAAAATTGACGTGAGTTTTTGTGAGCGGGCAATAGCAGAGAAAGACAGACAGCAGCCATGGACTTCTCCGTGCTCTCAGAGGCCTTGGAATCCAAATCCTACTCCAAGATCGCAGATATCTGCGACAACCTCATGCTTCAGGCAAATTCCTCTCTCTCTCTCTCTCTCTCTCTCTCTTTCTCTCTCTCTCCTTTTTTTCTCTCTCTCTCTAGGTTGATTTTTGGTTCAACTCCCATTCTCACATCACTTTCTTCTCTCGAGTGTTGGTACAGGTCGCAGCGGAGGGCTTCGCCTTTCAGGACGAGTGGCCCTACACCATTCATCTTCTCGGTCACATTTATTCCGATGATATGTATGTTTATTACAATCGATCAATTACTTTCATCCTTGTTTTATTTGTTTCAAATGCTTAGAAAACTTCGTAAATGAAGGAAACTATATTAGGGAGTAGTTTATTTTTTGTTGTTTTTAATTTCCTCGGTGATGAAGTTTTGCATTCCTTTTTTTTTTTTTTTTAAATTTCAAATTTATTGTGCTATTTGTTGCTAACTATTGAGGGGTTTCAAGTAAGTCCGTTTTTGGTTTTGAGGGTTTTGAATTTCATGTTAATATACACCCTAGGGTTTTAGAATATTGGACCTTGTTTGTTAGCAGGGAAGGGGGTGAGGGATTTCAAATACTTCAAAGAACCCAAATTGTGTTTTTAGCTGTTTGAGATTTTGGAGTTGAGCTTGTGTGGAATTTTTGGGTTTGAGATTTAGTGGGATTTTGTGTTTGTTGTTGGGAATGCTTGCAGTAACAGCGCGCGGTTTCTTTGGAAATCAATACCTCTGGCGATCAAAGACAGCCAGCCGGAACTGGTTGCGGCTTGGAAAATTGGTCAGAAGTTGTGGATTCGAGACCATGGTGGTGTTTATGAGGCTATTCGTGGGTTTGATTGGAGCCAGCAAGTTCAAGGCCTTGTTGCTGCTTTTTCAGGCAAGTGTCTACAAGCCATATCTGCGTAAGAATATCATATAGATGAAAAATAGGATCATAATGGTTACTTTAATGATCTATACATATTCTCTAATATAAAGCGGATTGCTGTTATGAAGCTTAAGAACTTTTATTTTTTAGTAGACGATCCGTGATTAGTTAACATCTGGACATTGACTTTTATACCTGTTGACTTTTCTGTTTTTTAAGTTGTAGATTTTGCCTTTTAGAAATTAGTCACCTATTACTATCTACTTGGTCAATATTATTTAGTCGTTCTAAGCTTACTTTGCATAGTCTTTTTCCCGTCGCTGTTTGCTTTTTGGTAAAGCTCTAGAAAATGCCAAGCTCCGCGTGCTCATTGATCACGAACTTAATTGTATATATTTATCTGTCTTGAATTCTTTGTTGTTTATGTTTTATCCTGGGAGCACAGCTAAAACTCAGTTGAAGTGAATTTGGGAGTCCTATGTAGCTTGCTCTTATAGGTTTTGTAGGTCTTGTGTCACCAAGGAGCAACGTTGTATTCTTCCATGTGTATTTAAACCTTTTTTGTGTATGCATTTTGATTGGAAGTAAAACATTTAACTTTGTCAGAATAGTAGCTAAATGTGGCCTTGGATGCAAGGGACTAATGGAAGTATTTATAAGGCCTGAGGAAGTTATAGCACAGATGACCTGAAAGAGTATAAGTAGTATCATTGAGCATTTTTTTTTTTTTTTTAAATAAAGAGAACAAATATGGCTAGAGTTCAATTTTATGCAGCTTATTGCTTGAATTGGAGATTGATCTTAGGTTGATTTTGAGTTGCAAGGTTGGTAACTAAATTTTAATCCTATCAAACCTGTAACCTCTAAGTACAGTTCAACTTCTAACTTGGTGTAGTAAATATTTGAGAGCATGTAGATTAGTATCAGGTAGTTTTAGGTTTATCTATCGAGGAGAGGCATAATGGGTTAAGTTAAATACGAAATAGGTGAGACGGTGGAAGAGATGAGAAAATGGATTTAGTTTATATTTTAACCCTAGAAAGAGTCACTAGGTTGTGCATGGCCTCACACTCTATAGGAGTTATTCTCTTAAACAAGCTCAATCTCATAGCTTCATGTTGATATAGTCTCTTAGGAACACAGGAGGCCTCCTAAGTTAAATGATGGAGACACTTAAGTCAATTTAAACAGTTGTCATATTGATGAACTCGTGTAGAATCAATTTCGATGCCTGACAGGTTACAACATTGTTGGTATTATTTCACATGTTTCCATCTTATTGTTTTAAGTTGTTAGGGCATGAGTTTAACATCCTTTGAGGACCCAACATTGTTTTGCTAACTGCTACAAACTTTTCTGGAGGTATCAGATCAAGGTGAAAGTAGAAAGAATTTTAAGGAGTTCCAGTATTTGGGCACATAATTTGTTTTCTTTTGGCAATGCAGAAGTGTTGGTGATGCATTCCGATGTAGTCACAAAAGGAGAAAGTATAAAATACTGAGAAAGAGCGGGAAAATAGGAGAATCAGGGAGAAATAGAAAGAGAGGTGAGGAAAGAGTTCCATAGGGCAGACAAAAAATTGTTTGATAATTACGATAGTCCCTAACCGAATAGACCACTAAGTAGACCAATTTAAGGACAAGATATCCTATCTGAAATAGGAAATCACGAGCAAAACGAATTGTAGATTGAGATGATAAATCCCAATTCATATTATAGTTCTAAGTGCCCAACTAGTTTCATTATCCTAAATCTCAGACCTTGTGATGAGAACAAGACAGAGATATTAAAAAATAGAATATGTATGTCTGTTAAGATTATTTATTTGTTTATGGTTAGGATCATATAGATATGCTTTGAATGTATCTCATAATTATATTCTTCATTTAATTTCTCGCCTAAGACTGCTTGGTCTAGTGGCATCGGGGGGTTTGGTGGGATGGGGTTTTAAAGGGAGGTTGCGGGTTCGATCCCGTATTGCATTAAAAAAAAAAAAAAAAAAGACACTGTTTTAATCTCTGTAACTAGACCCTTGAGATCTTGATTATCGGTATTCATTATTCAGAATTTCCTCCCTATTTTACTTCTCTCTCCAGCTTTCTCTTCTCTTCTCTCGAAAATTATAAGATATACACATAAAATATAACGTCCCTTTCACTTGGATTTTCCTGTGGATAACACGAGTCTTTAAAGCATTTTCAGAAAGCCTTGTCACTGCAATTTTGCTAAATAAAGTGTTTCTCCAGTTCTTTAGTCCATAGCTATATATCTAACTTCCCTTTTAATTGGATTTTCTTGTGGATAATACAAGTCCTTAAAGCATTTTCAGAGAACTGTCGTTGCAATTTTGCTAATTAGATTGTTGCTACTATTGTTTAGTCCGTAACACATATGATAAAACAATATCTTTTTTCCTCAGCTTCACCATCAAGGGCATGCCTCCAGATTTCAGAGGATTTTAAGTGGTGGCCTCTGGAAAATTTTCTTGTCATTGATGTCAATATTAGAGCAAAAGGAAAAATTGCTGTATGCCAGCTAGGTTAATGGCTGAATCGGCAACAGAATAATTAGACAATTATAAACTTGATAGCGATAGTAGTTTTTTTTTTATTATTATTATTGATTAAGAATGAGTGACATCGCCGCAACAAAATGAGGTCAAGTTGATTTTGCAAAAAGAAGTGACAGTTTGAGTATACTAAACTGTAGACAAGTTGCAAAGTCCATGGTACTGAATTCAGAGAGCTGCTGCAGACGGTGAGCATAAACAACAGAATAACTTTAGAGACAAAGATATGTAAATCAGTTGCGACCTAAGACCCAGAGTGTTGACTAAGAAGGGTTACTTAAATTCCAATGCGCGGTTTTTAATAATGATCAATGACTTGCCTTGAAGTAGTGATATTAACCTTGTAGAGGTCATAAAAATGTTTCGGTCACGTCAGAGAATTGTTATTGTGTCTGTGCATTACTTTGAGTAGCCTAATTGCACTTCTCAACTAATTTATGCCGAAAGTATTTTTAGTATTGCTGTTTTTCAATGTGCTAAACACAATTTTTGGCATTGCGCGTTTTGCCATTGCCAGGCCTTGCATATATTTATGTTGCACTTCTTATTTAACTGCCATGCTAAATGCAGATCCATTCATAATGACAGTCTATATCAGAAATATCTGACCAGTCTTAATATGTCCTAGAGGTTTGATAGACTAGTTTTTTTGTAAAGCTTGTTCTAACAAAAAAGGTGCCTGTTCTGCTTGATGGAGGCTCCATATCTCAAAGTTAAAGGCCTTTTCTCCAACATAGGAATTGATTTTTTTAACAAAAGCCTTTCCAGTAACAATTTGCAACTTAACTGAAGACTTGATTGGAATTCATTGTGTATAGTAGTCCAATGCATGGTGCTTATAAGCATGGCATAATACCATTATAACATCGTCCAGAATGGTTATTTTTTAATTGTGTATTTTCTGTTGTAATTTGCCATCCCTGATTAACATGATTAACTATTTAACTCCTATTCGGATTCACAGAGTCTTTCTAATGTACTGTTTGTGGGAACCTATAGTTTGACAGTTTTTATGATTGTGGTTATTTTTTTGTGCTTCATTGCATCATTTGATATTGTCTGAACTTCTTGTAGAGCTTTACACAAAGAAGATGTTTCAGTTGCTGCAATCTGCTTATTCTACAATAAGCATCCAAGATACTGCTCTCTTCCTTGGAATGGACAAGGATAACACCACAAATTGTAAGTCTGTCTTTTCATTTTCACATGGGTACGAATATCAGCCCTCCAACCTGATCTGATAATTTGCCTTTATCCTAATGTTCTGGGGTAATTTTTTTTGTCTTCGATACACGGTTAAGAAGAATGAAAAAATAAAAAGCTTATAATGTAAAAGATATTTGCCCAACCAGAGAATAAAAGCCAACATTACTTCTTTGCAAGGGTTTAGGATTCATTATATGTATGACTATGAGCATTCAGTTATGCATAAAAGAGAAGGAAACACAAATTTGAAACAGTTTTGGTTCCCACGCAAGTAGCATAACCAGTTCATAGCCCGGTTGAAAGGTGATGTGGCAAGCCTTATGTTTTGGTTGACAAAGAATCAAGGGTGATGTTAAGAATCAAAGGTGATGTTAGGGTAGGGCTAGTATGTCCTGCTATTTTCCGCGACGAGAGACCTCTAGCCAGTTTGTGCAGTGAAATTCTATGGGTCCGTTTAGAAGGTATACTTAAACCATGATTATTGATTCTGACGTATGAAATTTAAATTTTTTGCGAGTGAAAAACACTATAACAGAATCAATGATTTGAGTTTGAGTATATGAAACAAACGGGTCCTATATATATAGATGCGTGTGCGCGCACGCATAAAAATATGTTGTGCAAGAAGTAACACAAGGTTTAGTCCTGCTGCTGCAACTCACTTTTTATTGCCCTATCTAGATTAGGCACACTTTCAAGATTCTTGAAAAGTGTATTCCCTGCGGTAGTGATTCCACCAGCCGCCTACTTTACATGAGAAATTAGTATCATATCGAAATAAAAAACTTAACAAATAACATGGCCTCATTTATAACTTTTGGAATGCGTTATCTTCAACGTTCTTATTTATTGCGATGTTACCGGTGAGAATTTGTTCTTTGATGCAGATGTAGTACAACAAGGTTGGATTGTGGACCCTTCTTCTCAAATGTTTACAGTGAAGAAGCAACCTGTTGTTAAAGAGCAGAAACTAGACCGCAGCAAATTGCAGAACTTGACAGAATATGTGTTCTGTCTAGAGCATTGACAGGGATTTTTAAGGCGATGGAGCTATGATGTGTTTTTGAACCGGCATGTTAGCTTTTAAGTCATTTGGAAGAGAATGCTTTGAAAGCCGTCGCTTGTTGCATTTCTTCAAAAGTTTTGAAGTCCTATGGTATATGTATAGCATATTTTACGTGATAATTTTCTTTTCATGCCCGATTAAAATTTTCTGATGTTGAATTATTCAGTTCCTTTGGATTCGTTTCCGTATCCTCCTTATATATTTTTGTTATGTTCTCGTAAATAATTGATAATCACTCACTTTCTCATCTCTTTTAGGTTTTACTTGCTTATCACTCAATTAAATGGGTAGCATTCTTTTTAAAATTTGATCGTTAATGCTTTTCATCAAGGAAAGCAGTATTAACGAAAGTAACCGCATCAAAATAAGTTCTAGTTGAATGACCTCATAGATGCAAATGCAATTCATTAACAGAAAGTAAGAATCTAATCCATGTCCGAATGAGCTCCGAGATCTTTAATGTTTTATGTTCTATGATAGATCCTCGGGTGTCTTTTAAGTTTTATGACATCATCAATCTCTTCACAGAAGGCAGTCTTGTTCAATGTCTGTTTTAGGGAGGGCACTATATCCGACGGGGGTTGGCGCTCCGCGGGGGCCTATCCCAAATTGGGCGGGGATGGAGGACAATGTTCTGCAGGTTGCTGCAGTCCATTGTCATCCTTAACATTGAATGATGTGATGTAATATCATTGGTTAGACAATAAATGAGACACTAAAAGTAGAGAGAAAAGATGTTTCTGAGGAATTACGAAAGTTAGACTATATGGCCTTTTCTTCGCCCTAAATTTGCAGTTTTAAATGTATGTTGATCCTGACTAGTTTGAAATCCCAACCAAAATTTTACTAAAATTAACAACGTTAACAACATTAAAGTAAAAAGTTGAGCTGTCAACTTTTGAGATTTGTTAGTAATTAAAAGGTCAGGGAAAAAAGAAATGGAGACGAATAAAATTTTCAAATACCTAGCAGCTTTTGTAAAATAGAAAAGAACCAAACAGGCTTAGTTTGGCAGTGATTAAGATCTTTGCCGATTTGAAACGAGCTTCAAAGTTTTTGCATCTTAATGGCGTCACCCCCATTAACACTGTTGATTCTTTTTCAACTTGGAAATGGAAAATTTTTGGCTGCATCAGTTAGAACTTAGCAGCCTTTTGGTCCCAATATTTGCTTGAGACTCTGGTCAATTATTACAGTGTAATCCAAGTCAAGGGTCAAGGTTTTTAATTTGGGAAAATACAAGTTGTATGGTCTGGTCGTGGCAGAGAGAGTTTTATTGTTAATCAGTCGGTTGAAAATGAGTATCATCACTGACTTTTTCAAGTCCAACCAAGCATGCGAGGCTCACATGACACTTAAGACCATCATATGTTTGTGACGCAACTTTTCTTTTCTTTTCTTTTTTTTTTTTTCCTTTTTGGAAAAGAATGTGTTTGTGTAGAATTTATTGCTTGTGAATTAGCATTTTCTTTGTATTGGGAAGAATTCTATTTGGTTTCACAAAGAAATATAGTTGCTCTCCATGTGAAATCAATCGGTATCTCTCGTGGAGTTGGCTCTGCGCAGAACTCCACATTGTACTTTTTTTTTTTGTTAAAAAAAAAAAAAATTATTATTATTATTATCATCATCATCATTATTATTATTTTGAATCTAATAGAACCTTTATTGAATGAAATAAGTACAAAACCTAAATTGCTCGTCATATTATTCTCTTAAAATCCTTGGTAATTATACCATAATTTCTATATAACTCGCCCGCTGAGTTAATAGAAGACACATTTGTGTTATTACATAAATTTTTATACATGGATTATTAAACTTACTTCTTTTCTCTTCTCTCCGTGTCTAATTATTATATTAACTCATTTGTACTTTCTAAACGAGAGAATTTTGATCTGTAAATCTTTGGAAGCGTATTGACTAATTACCCCCACCACCTCACAATTCTTTTTTTAGCATCTTATTTTTTGATATGATTTTATTCGTGTTTAAACATACATGACTGCCAAACTAAAACTACCCATTTATTAACTAGCCAAAAAAAAAAAAAAAAAAAAAAACTTCCCATATATTGAAACTTACATTACAGCGCTCCTCAATTTCATCAAATTAAAATTAAATGGAAGAGACCTAATTTGTTTTCACTTGGTTTCAATTTGCTTCATGTGCAAAAATTAGAAGAAGCGTTTAAAGTTTATCTCAATAGCAAACTTCCGAAATCAGAAACCTCAGTACAATCATAACAATCGTATAATTGGAAGAACTCTATATGTACATATATTACTTTCCACAAATACTCAATTTAATGTGCCCATTGAATCCGATCAAGATGATGAACAAGGGGAAAAAAAAAAAAAAAAAAAAACCCACTTCTTAAGAGCAGTATATAGACAAATTACAATAATCACAAAACTGTCGATTGATTATCCAGATATAATGTCCACTTAGCAACTGGAAACATTCAGATCACCATATTATATATGTACAAACAATTAGCTACGTAAAAGTACCAAGTCTTTTGCATACAATTTCCTCTACTGAACATTATTGACGATATTATCAGAAAGAGGCTTACAAGTCAAGCTATAAATTTCAGACAAAGATTTAAACCTCTTCTTCTTCCCCCTCGGATCCAATCCATCGTCTTCCTGATCATCAAACAAATTACTCTTCATACGATTGAGAGTGTTGTTGATCAGATGGGTGGTATCGCCATCGCTGATGATCTCTTCATGGATGTTGTTGTTGTTGTTGTTGTTGTCGTTGTTGTCTGAGTCACCGCTGAGTTGGATAAGCTGCTCGGCGACGTCGATTTCGGACTCCGAGAAATCGAGATCCTTCTTCTTCATCGTCTTCTCGTTTTTGTCGTTGCTACTTTTGGTTTTGCATAATGAAGATTTTGCTTTCGCCATAGCGTATTTGGACAGTTGAGAAAATAAGGGAAGATATACGGGAAGTAGCTTATATATATGTATATGCAATGAAATATTTAGGTCGGTTGCTGCAATATAAATATATATATATATATTTTAATTTTTGGTGTTGTTTGCTAATAAGCCTTTTCTTTTTATGTTTTCCACCCTTTTTATTTTTTTTTTGCTCATTTTCTTTCAGCCCACGTTTCACCAATGCTTCGTGTACTGTAGGATAATAATATATTTTTTTCTTTGATAAGATTTTTTATTTTTTTCCCCCCTTTATGATATGCTTTTATGGATTCTTATTACAATACCGTGTAACTCAAAAGCCCTGTCGTTTTGACTTGTGACTTATGTGGACAGCGTCAAGTTAAGGTTTTCAGAAAAAAATAAAAAAAAGGGTCTATCGCAGCCAATAACTGTGGTATGTAGGTGATGCCACGAGCGTGAAAATATGTGTAATCAGGTCGTTTAGTTTGTTGATTTAAATTTTTAATTTGAGTTGAGATGTAATTTTATGAGAGAATTTTTTATTATAGTAAAAAAATTAAATGTAATTATTTCTAAAAACTTTTTATTGTAACAAAATTCGAATAGGTTAAATGAACAGAACCTGAATTTAGGAGTACAATCGTGAAAATAAATTTCAATATTTGGACAAAAAAGATTAAAATTCGAGAATACTTTTATTGAAGCTTTAGATATGCTAAAATAATGAATTAATCTAACAAGCAAATAATTTTCGTTAAAAAAAAATTATAATATTTGTTGACAGGTATTATGAACCTAATACTCCTTAAGACAACTACACATTTGAAAGTCGTATAGATTTGTATATACATAACGTATAAATTTACTAAGATCTTTATTTAGATATTTGTTTATTTTGACATTATTAGTGTTAAGAGCATCCGTAAGAAACTCTTTAAAATTTAACTAAATTCTAGCTAAAATTGTTAGAAAGCGATTTTAGTTAGCAATTTTTTGGTGAGTCAATCCAACCATACTCCCTATTATAACTAAATATAAATAATTTTATTAAGTTTTTTTTTAAAATATTTACATTTATTACAGTTAAAAGAATAAAATAATACAAAAATGAAATAGCTAGTCACTTCATGCTAACTATATTTAACTAGTGTAGAAGGCCTTCTATAAAATAGCTACCATTTAGCTAATGGTTGGAGTGAAAAAAAGCTAAATAATAATAATAATAAAGCTAAATTATTAGACATTTTAACGAAAAACATAAAAAGCTAACATGGTTGGAGTTGGTTTAATAATTTTTCTCAAAGCACGTCTACATGAGTAATTGACATTCTTCATTTTTAAAGTTTGAGGAATTAATTGAAACACCAAGCACCCTATCTAATTAATTAAGAACTCAACATTTACTCATTAGTAATTATCATATTATCATAACATTAGGCTCATTTTTAGGTTCTCTTTTTTTTTTCTATAATAAAAAAGATCAATAATATTCACGTCCCCCCGATTCAAAAGTCACTTAAGAATCTATTAGGATCACAAATGAAGTGAAAAGAAGTTTGACCCATATTTTTCATATGGAGAAAGTCAAAAATCACATCAACTTAAGTAGTATCCGTAAGACCAATAAATGAAATAATTGCAGTCTTACAACAGACAATGAGAACGATTCTCGAATGATTAGAGAGAACCCCTAATAAGTTATCTTTCATCGGTATCCACCACCACCAGTCATCATCATTCTAAGTTCTCTTGATGTGTATTATGAACACAAACTTTGAGAGCAGGATATTATGAATAAAAAGCAGATATTTAGAGACCAAAATAATGCCATTCCTATGTTCTCTCGATATATATATACATACATATATATATATATATTATTTTTGTCTCAAGATCATCTGCTTGTTGTTCATAATATTCTACTCTTAAAAGTTTGTGTTTGGATGACCTATATATTCCCATCAGTCACTTTTTGTAGTCTATTTTGTCCCGTCCCTCTTGACCTTGCAACATTGCAAAACACGTGTTTTTGCTTGCAAATCATATCACCATCAGAATCTCTATCAACATTGCAAAACACGTGTTTTTTCAGTTATGTATATATCCATGAGAAGAACTCCAGCCCGAAGTCTTGCGAGTATATGAAAGCAGCATATAAGCCCACGTCATATAATCTTGGAAAAATTTAAGAAAATATATAAGTCAATTTTTAGTTATAAAAATTAATAGGTCATAATTTATTAAGTTATAGTTTATAATCATATAAGTTATGAATA